GGTGGCAAGAAAGACGCCAAGAGATTTACATTACATTTGGAAAATGCTTTAATCCAAATATGTATAGCATTCAGGCTATACATTTTATCAGTCCAAGGGTTGTCTGTGAATGAACCCATGACTTTGGTGTTGCTAATGCTGTTCTTCAACCTGTAGGACGCAAGAAACCGCAGGAGATTTAAGAAGGCAAGCAACCCATGTTGGTTAGACTTTTGAAGACTGTTGATGATATTGTGCAAGAGTCAAGTGTCTGGAATGTTTGCTGCCACAAGCGTTTGACTTCACTGCTCATGACGCAGTAGTGCATCACAGTCACACCCACAGTCAGAGAGAACAGAACGTCACGGATGAATAATAGAAACTGATTTGACCCAATTTAAAACCAATTTGAGGCTAGTTAGTGGAGCGTACGCGATCATCTGTGACATACTGTAGTGAAGTGTCTGTAAGAATTTAAGGTTGATCCCATCAATTACAATTTTCCAATAGTATTAAGCGTTTTATTTAAAATCAAGGCTACTCACTACAAACAAATTGGCAGGCGTTTGTGTTATGAAATGGCATGGCAGTAGTTTGCTTTTTTTGGAGGGAATCCCACCTTCTATAGCAGCTCATCAAAGTTTGTCCTCTCTCCAGCCAAAAGTACTGGACGCCACATGCCCTGCACCAGCCGCTGGTATTCTCCATGCTGGCTGCCAGCCTGAATAATCTCGTGGACCCATATAGACCAGTGCTTTTACTCGCACCGCAGATAGAGGATGTGTTGTTTTGCGTTTATCTTGTATGCATTGACTCTGTCTTAATGGTTGAATAGCATGAACTGAATATTTCAGTCACACACATTTTCTAATTTATTTAAATGTAGGGTTTGATTTCAAGTATTCAGATTACATTAAAGCCCATCATTCTGCTCTATGTGAACCCTTTACACATTTAAAGTAAACTAAATGGAGGTATCATTTTTGTGTTCTCACTTGCTCATTATTGTGTTTCCATGACTTTCCAAAAGAGGAGGAAAACTATCTATATAATAAGACACATTAGGGCTGAAAACCCAGACCCAGTGTATGTTTTACATGTGGTCTCAATGATATCTCAAAGGCCCTCCAATAAAATGAATATTCATTTGAAAATGTATCTCCCATCTAAAGTTTTGCCATAAACGTACAACTTAAGTTTTTAAAATAAGGTACATGCAAGTAGGGTTGGGTACTGAAACCCGGTACCAATATGGCACCAGTACCTATGTAACCGGTATGTACTAGAACCGAATCTGAACGCAAATTTCGGTGCCATGCCTGAGCGATCGATTGAAATATTTGTCCTCTGCTTCTCCGAAACGGACGCAAGAAGCATCATCACTGGCACTGCCATGAAAAATAATTTCCCGACTGAGAAAATGCACGTGAACTCAAGTCGGAAAGCTCTAATAATACAAATCCAACAAATCTTTGTAGTAACGAGAGTGTCCATGTTGTTTTCACATTCCGACTTAAAAGCACAACTCGGGGAAACGAGAGCATAAGAGGAGCACGTGAATGCAGTAATTACACTTGCTATGATGGCAGCAGGTAGCCTTCCGTTAACTAAGCTAAACATGCTTAAATTAAAATGCCTAAAGCTAAACTTTCCTTGTATTCACATTTCTAAACTTGTTGTCCAACAAAAGAGAGCATTATAACCTTTTTACTCCACAACACCAGTCAAATGCTTCCTTTTG